TTCAGCTCTGAAAGGCAGGAGGGGTTGGTGTTGGGCTGGGGGCTGCAGCAGCTGCCCTGGGCAGGGGGAGAGGGGCTGTGCGTTCCCTTACCGAGGTGCATCCTCTTCCTGCCCTTGTGGTGAGGCAGCAGCATGGGCTCAAACTCCAGATCTGGGACGATCATGGGCTCAATCCTGTATGCCACCGGGTCAAACTGTACAGAGGAGGGGGACAGTCAGCCAGGGCTCATGCTCCATGCATCTCTCACGCAGGAAGGCTCTGGCTCTTATACCTACGGGGTGGAAAATGTTGAAGAAGCCTTTGCAGGTGGGCAGGCTGTAGTTTGGGTTGATCCGCTTCACTCCTCGCACCGTGAGAAACATCCCAATGGGAGACCCAAAAGCAAAGAAGATGGTGGGCTTGTAGTTTAGCTGAGGGTAGTTTGCTGAGACCTTGAAGAGAGGGAGATTCAGATTTGGTTCATGAGACAAACACCATGCTGGTGTTACCAGCACCTCGTTGCTGTGGTTAGAGCAGGGTGCTGAGCTCGGTGGTTACCTGTCCTAAGCCAATGTCCCGGTATTGGCAATTCCTGCCATCATCTGTGCTGGCTGGGTCGTGCTGTGATGGGGACCCGGGCTCAGCTCCGTGCTCCCCGCTGTGCCCAGGAGCTGCTGTGCTCTGGTCCTGCAGCAACACAACCAGGAGGCCCCACTAGCGCGGTTCCTGCAGCGAGCCCACGCCACAGCCCGTCCTACCCACCCGTCAGCAAGTACCCGAGGTGGCAAACTGCCTGGAACCCTTCATCCTCCAGAACCAGGGCAGCCTTGGCAGCATCATCCTACCCCAGCTGACCACCCCTCCAGCCAGCATCACTAACTGTGGGGTAACGTGGATAAATACAATCAGTGCAGAGGACAAACCTGCGTCTCTGTCTTGGAGCTGATGTAATGAAGTATCTTCATTCTTGGTCCTAAGGGAATTCCCATTTCTTTAAGGTTTTTTTCTGTGCACAACAACTGGAAAATAAGCAACCCAGATATTAGTAGAGCAGAGAGGTGTTTCTGTTCTCTGTAATTCTGTTCCTGCTGCACTCCTCAGAGATGTCTCGTGTGAGGACTCAGTACCAGCAAGGTGTGCAGAAGGTGGGAGGACTGTGAAGAAAAGCAAAGGAGAAACGCAAGAGACAGCAAAACAGGAGAGCTCCTTACCAGTGCCTGCCTGTCCATTTTCTCCTTCTCAAAAACATCACAATATTCAGACAGCTCCAGCTTCTTCAGGATTTCTTTTACTTCCTCAATACCCCTGTTGCTTGAGGTTGTCCTGGACCCCTGTGAGTAGAGCCATCAGGGATCATGCTTTTTGCTCACTTATTTTCTCCCATGCATTTTGTGTCTCTCCCCCTTTCCCCAGCAGCAGAAGCAGGAGGTTGGTGTGACACTGCACCAGCACAGCTCCCCGTGCAAGCGCTGCAGGAATAACCCAGGGGTCTGGATGCCACCAAAGATCACGTACCTCATCGCTGTGCTCGTCCTCCTCGGGAGCAGCTTTCTGGTTTGTCAGGAGATCAAACAGAATGAGCGACCCTAGAAACCACAGAGCAACCATCAGCATCTCATCAGGGAAAAGCCCCAAGCCATCTCCTTTCTGGGATGGAAAGACCAGAACCCCCCCTGCTCCCATGGTATGGTGACACTGGTGGGACCCTGTGGGTGAAGCCCCTTACCCAAGCTGTGCCCTGCAATGGAGACCCCCCCGCTGAAGAGGGGGTTCCTCTGCAGGAAGAGCTGGTACAGACGGTTCATTTCTGATGCCACCGTGTCCACGATGGTTTGGCAATAGGTGGAGCTGTTATAAAAGAAAACATCCAGGATGGTGTCGTTGATGAAGTGACGCAGGCGATTGATGCTCGGCAAAGTGATTCGCTCCAGGTCGCTATGGGAGAGAAAAAGAGAAGAGAGGGAATTGCAATTAGGGGTGCCAGTGAGCCCCACCACATTTCTAAAGCAAAATGTAAGTTCAGAGAAGGACTGACACCGTCCAAAAGGAGATAATGTTGGAATCAGACCCTCAGCTCATGCCAAGACTGAAGGTAGAGCATGGCCTGTGTCCTCAACGCTCCAGGCAGGCGGCAGGAGCCTAACCTGCTCCCTCCCCTTCCCAGGGCACTGCAGAGCAGAAACTGGGTACTCAGTTTCCAGAGGCCTTCAGCAAAGTGTGGATGTCCCTAGTCCCTCTGGATATTAGCCAGGGAAAAGCAGAAGCCTCTCCTCTCTGGCTGGATGCTGATGGGAGCAGGTACCTGCTGTACTCCACAAAAAGATAGTGGGAAGGGGTCTGGCAGGGAGGTGCTCTACGTGACCCCATCTATCCTGTGTGCTCACAGCCCTGAACACTCTCAGCTTTCCCCTTTGCCTGCAGTGGCCACCAGAAAAAGCAGAGTTTATGCAGGAGGAGGCTGTCTGCATGCTCTGCCATTCCCACAGACACTGGCACAGGAGGAGGTGGTGTCCAGGACACTTACACGTCCACCCCGGTGGAGTGGAGGGAGCTGTGCCAGTTCACAGGCAGGAATTCCACCCGGCCGATCTGCTGCTGCTCCTGGGCTTTCTTGAAGTGAGCTTGCAGCATGCTCAGGGAAACATTCCTGAAGTCATTCACTGGAAAAGAGCACAAACTCTTCACTGAGATCCACCAGGCCACAGGGCGAGCCTGCTGCATCAACAACACTTAATAAGATAAAAGATCATTACCAGGGGAAATCCCACCAGGGTCTTTAATCTGCTGCTGCTGCCCTAAGACCTTGAATCTTTAACTACAAGATCAGGGGAAGGCTCCATGTCCTTACATGTGTTTACTGGATTTTGCTGTCCCATCTGTAACAAGCCTCCTCTCCACATGGGCAGGGCTTTAACACAGCAGTTGGGATAAGAGAGGTAATTTTTGGAATTAAAAAAAAAAATAAGTCTGTTGCAAAGATGCCTGTGTTAGAAAGGGAGCCCTAGGGAAGGAGATGAACTTGGAATTAGTCTTTTTCTGAGGGAGAAATGCTGATTTCCTTCATTTCATATGATCAGCAGCCTTGAAAACAGTTTCATCAGATGCACATGCAGAAGAACAGAGTGCATTAAAGCAGAGGTGTGTTTTATAGGAACTAAGGCCAGTCTGCTGTGAAAAATCTCAGCTCCCTTGATTTCTACAAGTTGAATCCTGTCGAGCTTCCAGGCAGTTTCAGCGATCACCCCTCCTGCAGAACTGAAGCACTTTGAGCAAACCACAATGAACAGGTCAGACCAGAGTTACTTGGTTCAGTACCCTGTCTCCAGTGGTGATCACCAGTGGATGCTCAGAGGAGCGGGTAAGACCAGCGACACTTCTCACACGCTCTCCTAACCTCCAGGCATTTGCAGCTTGAGGATTTCCTGAGACAGAAACAGCATCCCTGGTTTTGGTCCAAAATCACTCCCAGGACTGCTGGATGGGATGTTGCCTGTTAGATTTCACCCAGTGAGATTAACCCTTGGCAACAGACTGAGCAGGTTACTAATTAGTTTAGCAGGTTTAGACAGTTACTTGGAAAATCTGTAACCAATTTGGGAAACTCACTTATTTTGAGCAGCAGCAGAACACAGTGATGAAAAGTGGTTGCCCAAAACCCTTTCCAGATGGTAGGATTTTTAATGGGTTAACGAGCATTACATTCACTGCAGTCAGCAAATCTGACCCTGCAGCTCGAGCGTCGGGGTGGTTTGAGCAGCATTTCCCATTGTCTGTGCAGATGAGGGTTGACTGGCTCTGTTAAAAGCAGTGTCTGGGAAGAGCAGCCTGGCTGGACTCCACACCTACCGCACTGGACGATGCTCCTGAAGCGAATGTCGCACGCGGGGCCGATCCCGTGCACTACGAAAACCAGGTGATCGATTTGCAGCGGCTCTCCTAAGGGGGGAAGGAAGAGTTGAGAGCACAAGCCCTGTGGGAGACGTTGTTCAATGGGGAACTGACCCCCTCACCTCTCATCCCCACCTCAGCCGGGTGGAAAAGCCTTGAGTTAGTGCCTGGAT